TAAGACCAATTTTAAGTTGGAAAACAAGTTGTTTACATGTTCATTTATTTACTTCCTTTGCCAGATAGACTCTGATATCACAATGAGCCAGCAAAAAAATGAAAAAATATTGAAAGTAGGATTTTCTCTCTTATTTTTTATTCTCCTGTTTACAAACAACATATCAATAAAAAAATTTTTTTTCAATTTATCAGAGATATTTATCAGCATTTTACAGTCTAACTTGCTTCTCAAATAGGAGGACAAAGCATGTCTCGAAATGCATTCTGGTCCCTTACAATACTATCATCAGAGAAAGGAGGATGTATGCGCTCAGGGTCTTCGTCTACCTTTTCCAGAACTTTGTCATCTGAATTTGGCCAACAATGAGGTCTGTGTATTGCCTGCTGGCAGTTAAAAGGCTTTTGATTTGCTACAAACATAGACAGCTGAATGAAGTCATTGACAGCAGAGCTATTTGCCACTTCTTTACTCTAGATAGCTGAGGAAGAGGCATTGTTGCCCGTGGCATTGTTTCCAAAGCTCAGTGAGCTTGTTATTCACTCAAACCCCTTGACAACACAGAGAAGTGGTAAGCTCACACATCCTCAGGCAGGCTCATTGTTAGTGCATTAAATCAACTAAATCTGACAAAAAAATGCACATCTTTTTGTGTTTTTCAATACAGGCGATCCACCAATGCTGACCTGTTTTCTTCAAGACAAGCTGGGTATTAAGATAACACGCAAAAAAACAACTAATCTCATTAAGCGACATATACTCCCTAGAAGAAAGGTGGCACAAATGCACAAGTTTGGATTTAGCATTTAATATTTTTTAAAGTAAATCCTTTCAGAAGCAATTTACCTTCTACTTAAACTTTCAGGTGAAACCCACACTTCCAAAATTTCCTTCGATCACGGCAAATCAACATGCTACAGAAACGCTCTTCTCCAAGAAATGTACTGGACCAGATAATCCTCTACCCTTAGAGTATGGGTTATCTCATGTATTTGGCTTCTCGTCTCAACCGAGCATTGACGACGAGGAAGACATTGACATAGGCCAGGAGCATTTTGACTTGACAAGTGCAGACATATTTTTTGAGACTAATCAAAATGCAGAGCCGTTCTTTGTGACAGAGGTAATTTTATTGCACCTAGAAACTAGAAGTCTACATATCAAGACTTGTATGATATGTATGTTAGAAAACTTTTGTTTGATTTAATTTTCCAGATTAATGGCTTAAATGAATCTGAATACCAAGAAGATCCAGATGATTCAAAGGAAACCGAACTGGAAAAAGGCAGCAAAGCATGTCCAGAAAAACTGATTGGTTATGAAATCTTACTTGATGACACACCTGAGCTAGCAATGCCTGAGTTTTCTGGTAGGAACTTTCCTAAACTCTGTTATTGACCTCTTGCTTTGTTTGATTTAGTGCCGTTTGTTTGTTCCTGTTGTCACTGATTTCTCTCGACGCAGGAATTCAACAAGCTGTTAGTGTTTTGGAACACATGCTCAAGAACCTGCTTGTATATAGAGATTCTAAAGCAAATCTGGACCTTCCACAGAAGCCGTACACCGAAAGAGAGAAAAAGGTCATTCATCAGTTATATACTGTGTATTCAGCATGAAAACCCAACATCTGTTATTAATAACATGACAGAAACATTCTTTTCACAGATTAAAAATTTGCCTCCTTTGGGACCAAAGAAGTCGAAGGAAGAAAAAGTTGAAGAACGTCTTGCCCAAATAAAGGAGGTGAAAACAATAAGCAAAGTTCCATTAGGTAACAGATACTTCCTTTGTCATTTTATGGCAGGCTTTGAAATATACGTAGTCACTTATTTATTAAAATGACAAAACCGTGATGGAATCCAGTGTAATTAAGGAAGTCAAGCCTAGTGATGCTATTCCAGCAGGAAATGTTTTCCAACTGAGCAGCAAATAAATTTCATCAACTAGCACAATCTAGCATGTTTTACAGGTCAACTAACAAGCACACTGCAGAGATGTTATAATGATTGTTCAGCACTGTTTACTTTGAAATGCTCTATTTGGCTTTGCAGCTGTTCCTCTATTATTTCAACACTTAACAGATTGCTAGTGTGTAGGATTGCGCTACATGCATGAACTTCAATGGAATGATTTTGGATATGCCATCTAGGAAAACCTCCAAACTACTATTCAAACTAATATGAATAGATATTTCTGATATTAAACACATCATTGCTCATAGAATTATATTAATTAAATGCACTTTTATATGTTGTCTATCCAGATAATGTACTCGAAGGAGGGAATGGTATTTGTAAGAGAGAATATGAGGAAGCACTGACGCTACTGAAGGACATGAAAAGGAAGTACAGGACGGCTTATCTGAAAAGAGTGGAACAGGCAGCACAGATTGAGACAGATTATGTATAATCTAAACTAACAGGTGCTTTACTTTCTGCTTTTACATGAATTAGTTAGTCTTAGTTTGCAATAAAACACTATTAAGATATTGGAAAGAGGGTGACAAATTGTGTGATCTTTGTGTTGATTACAAATAAACAGTATATGTCATTGCTGTCAGATATATTGAGTTTGCAATAAATTTATTCTCATCATGTGCTGAGAGCTTATATATCTAGATGGGCATGTGTTTTACCTCACATTCTTCTCTGAAATTAACAGTATATTCCCTGAGGGATTGCCTCAAAGACCTTTACACATCAAAATTTGGTCACTCACTATTCATTCATCCATCCATCCATCCAAATGATTTTTAAAATCACTTTATCATTTTTTATTTTTTTAAATATGACAACAGTTTTTATAACAACATTTGAGTGTTTCTGACACAATTAAATAGCCTATGTGATGTTTTTTGGTCAGCTTTGGAAAAACGTGACAAAAAATTAACAAATTTTACCTGAAATATTTTAGCATTATGGTTTATTTTAGCTTTAAGTTTTGAAATGTGAAAAAAACTAAACAAAGGGAACTAATGAGATGATTAATTAACACAGGTGGAAACTAATTAACTAATCAGGGAACACAGGAAAACTAGGTCACCGGCAGGAAGAACGGAAACACAGGGAAATCTAAACAGAAACAACATAAACGGGACATATATATACACTGAACAAAATTATAAACGCAACACTTTTGTTTTTGCCCCCATTTGTCATAAGCTGAACTCAAAGATCTAAGACTTTTTCTATGTACACAAAAGGGAGTTCAGCTCATGAAAAATGGGGGCAAAAACAAAAGTGTTGCGTTTATAATTTTGTTCAGTGTATATATATTCATTTAACAATTAAAAAAAACGGATTTGAACTACAACATCAATTAACATGTTAATACATTTAGAACAGGACTAACTACAACAATGTGTAAACTGCTCCAGAAAATAATTACATCATTTTTACATCATCAATTTTATTATTTTATTGCCTATCACAGCTATGCTGATGATACCCAGATTTACCTAGCCTTATCGCCAAATGACTACAGCCCCATTGAC